CGCGAGCGCGTCACAGCGACGTCACGTCGGCGAAAACCCGACGCTCTATACTTCGGCGTCGTGGCGTAACCGACGCGACCGGCGGCGTTCGACGCAGCCTGACCGCCTCGACGCCAAAATGGAGCATGCCGTATTCCGCGCCGGCCGCGCCAGCGACGCCGGACCAGGATGCATCACGCGCTGGCTCCCGGTAGCCCTCGCGGCGAATACGAGCAATAGCAGACGACGGGAGCACCACTCCGTGCGGCGTCATGTTTGAAGAATCGGACGTTACGGTTGTCGAGAAGCTGATCGAGGGAATTCGTCCTCACCCGTGTGTCTACGACACGAGGAAGCTTGAGTACCTAGACCGTGCGCTTGTCAAAGATGTACCGCATGTACATTGACCGCCTACGCTCGCGGGGTAGACGGTGCACCAACAGTGCAAGCGCGAGTTTTCGTCGTGCAAGGTACGTCCACGCCATCGCTCGAACTTGGCGCTCAAGAAGCGCGAGAATTCTCGTCTGCTATTCGGAACGAAAAGGAACCGGAAATGGCGCACTCTCGCAGGAAAAGCGCCCTCGTATCCAGATTCTGCGCATGCGCCACGCTGGCGGCTCACCGACGCGCGCCGCGGTCGTCGCCAGGTCAGCCGGAGTATAAAAAGGGCGATTTTTTGTCGCGCGCGGCGTGACTGACGTGACGTAGCCGACTTCGGCCAGCGTTCGCTTGCGCGCGCGTTACGTCGGAGTATAACAGAGCCTTTAGGCTTACAACGCGCTTCAAATATTTTAAAAACTGATTTAGTGGTTTTAGATGACGCCCAGCAAGTTTCCAATTGAAACCATATGTTTATTTTCATTAATTAAAATTATAATTAACCAATTTTAGTTAATCATTCGATTGCCCCATGGCTGTTTAACCTCACCTGTATAGACCGCATTATTCTACCTTTCCTTGAATTTTCTAAATAGATCTACTCGAATTAAGATCAAACACCCTGTAGACAGAGTGCAGAACGTTCTCGGTCGAAGTGCAAACACAAGCATGACCCCCCTCCATCAGCTGCGGTCCGCTGTCGCGTCGTGGTAACTAAAAGTTGCGATTACATTTATCTGTGTTCTCATTTTTAGGCTTGAACGACCTCTAAACATCCGTAACAATACAGATACAAGATAAATGCCCAGTCCTGAACCGCAATCACAAAACGTTGCATCCTGTAAAGGCTCTTAGCTGGCAATTTGCTTTATTTTTAAAGGTTCTTCTCTAGTAGTTTTTTACATACTATACATACTCGCAAACACTGTGTACTTCGGGAGAGCTTCTGATATTGCGCTTGAAAACAACCGCGAAAGCGATTTCCAAATTAGGCCGGAAAGCTCTGTTTGTTGTGACACCCTAAAGCACGTGCGACACATTTTCCGTTTTAACAGGACGAGCGTACGTGCGTACTGCTGTCACGTTCTGATTAGGCAAACGAGATTAAAAGCCAGATAACTGCAGCAAAGAAAGAACGAAACAAAAAGGAATAAAAAAATCTGTATAGCAACACTGGCCTGTGTGTCTATAAGAAGCAGGTTTTCAAGGCTTACACACGCGAGAAACTTTCAGCACATGTTCCTTGATTGCAGAACAAAGAAGAGTCGAGTTGCACCAGACAATGAAGGGTGAAAGCGTGCGTCAATTCGGTATGACATGTTTGTCGGTTTAGCCGACGCCTTATCTTCACTTGTCGACTCTGTTCGGAAAGGTTTGTGATGCCGAGGGCCATATCATGTAAGAGCACGCCTGCGTCACGATATAGAGTCGGACTTTGACAGGTGAATGACGTACAGTCAGAGAACCTGCGGACAGACATTTGCATGACGTCAATGAGTATGTACGTTTGGCACCTAAACTTGCGCAGACAGTGACTGAACGGGCGGTGTGGACGATGTCAATGGAAAGCCCGGACAGCTCGAGGTCTTTGCGCGCTAAGCAGCAGGTCACTGAGAACTACGAAGTAATTAATAGCACCTGCAAGTCCAGTCGGCTTATCTTTTTTTAGTGTGTGTTTGTGTGAGTGCGATTTCAGTCATTTTTGTCACTTCTACCAAACTTTAAGATCATCTTTAATCTATCATATTTATTGTAAGCTGTTCAACCACGCATACATCTGGTAACATGCAGGCTGCTCCGGCTTGTGCCACACTTACGGACAAAGGTAAAATTTCATGTTGCAGCGAACACAATCAACGATGCCGAAAATTTTCTGGGATATACCTGTACCAAAAGTGGTGAACGAGAATTGGACTCCGGTTCGCAGAGAGTAAGGACACACTGGAGTACCTTAATCATATTAAAAAAAAAAGTCTTGAATTTAATTTCCCTTCACTGGACGGCACTTGAACGAAATAACAACCTCAATCATTGAGCTTCCAATTTATTGCTGCTGCCACCTCGATAGATCGTCTGTGTGGCTTTTGAAAGGGACAGTTTTTGTTTTACTTTGAGAGGACATGGTCATCGCATATTTCGCATGACCCTGCTTTGCAGCACGTGGAGGGAAAGCTCGTGCTTCAGAACTCATGGATCCTGGATTCAATCCCACCCCTCCTGTTTCGGTCTAGATGAGCACGGTGCCTGCGTGCAATCGTGCACCACTATTGCGTGAGGCAGGTTAAAGATTCTATGCTAAAAGTGGTACCGTACTGGCTAAATTTCTCCCTTACAGTATGTAAATATCTCGTCATAATCTCTTGCAGGCTAACCTCATGATATCTGAGCATATAACGAAAAATTTGACCTTGACTGCTTTGGATTTCTGTTGCCAGCTACCCTTCAGTTTTGGTAATTAGGCTTCTCCAGAATGTTATAAGGCGAAGCAATTTGTGTCTATTGCAAATTCGCTCGTAAAAAAGTAAAAACAAGCTAGCAAATGCGGGAGGTAAAACCTTTTGCCCGGCCAAACAGAAATCATGGGTAACCGGAGTGTGTCGGGCTGCAACAAGGAAGTACGTTTGATACGTCGGTAAGGCTGAAATAGGTCAGTATTTTTTACCTGCCTATTTAGTTGAGCAGGCATGAATACCTTTTCCGGGATCGCTTGTCAAATCAATGCTAGATTTATTGTTGAAACTCGTACCAGAAGGGGCCCAGGGCCAGACAGCTTGAAGCTGTTCGACTCATCTTGAAATCTAGTTTGTTCTGATACCGCAGTTTGCTGGGTCTGTCATTACATGTTTTCTATCTTGCTTTTGTATGTCTTAAGATGTAATTACTAAAAGAAGGGTTTAATTTATGTGTGACTTGTTACCCTTCAATGCAGGCGGTAATAATGAGAAATATGCGATTTCATGCAGATGCAGTGTTTAGTAGACCCATTCACCAAAAACTAGCACTTACCTCCGTTCTCCACGTGAACTTGTCCACTCCTCCGCCCTGCGTGACATAAAACGAAAACCCTTAAGGTGCAGAACTTCAACTTGCAGCCTGTTCGAATCCACACCATAGTATGCTAAAACAATGCTTATAATATTTTATTCCGAAACCAATATTTCGCTTCTCCTCTTCGGGCGGGGGCACTGAGAGTCTATAAATCTTTCATAGAAACCGGGTACGTTATATAAAAATAAGATATAGTTTTTGTTTCAATAGTACGATTCACGGTGGCACACCTCTCTTTATGCGTTCTCATTAATTGTTCGCACGCTACCAGCTCGCGTTTTCCACTTGCTTCATTTACTACGCTTTGGTTATTTGCCTCTGGGTCAAGGTAAATTATTATTAGTATTATTAGTATTATTGTGTCATTTCTTTATGCGTCTTAATGCGCATGTGAAGAAACGATTAGACAAAATTAGAGCGACCGTGCTTGCTACCGATTCGAAACAGAAGAATTAATTCGTCAATTTAACTATTGTCTTCAACCTTTTTCTGACTTTTCAATTAATTTATGTCAGAAAACCTCGTTAGGACGACTTGAACAAAGTAATCAACGTGAATCGCATCATATGACTCTTGTCATCACGAATGAAGAATCACAATGACGCATGTGAGGCATCACTATCTTAAGAGCACACCTTAGGAAAATCAAAATGTTAGACCCACAAGCAGGGGAGGCCTAGAAATCTAGTCTAGACGTAGATAGTTTTCTAAATATGCATTGTCTCTAACTTCTTATTTGCGAGCTGACTGAAACGAATATTTATCATTCTAATGCTTGGCCTGCCTGTGGGTAGGTATATGATTGTATGCTTCCTCAGCAAGTTGCTTGTAGTACTCTCTATGTCGACGGCGCGACACGTTGGCAGAGAAGGTAGACACATCCTACCTGGTGTCTGTCCCTTTTGCCATGGTTCACAAACCCCTGGAAATCTTATTATAATGGCATACTCATCTGCATTTCTCCGCAAGAAAGGAATAAAATAAATATCAAAGTTTCCTTTGAATTGATACGCAACAACATGAATCAGAAAATTGAAATCAGCGAATAGTCTGTTTTTAAACAGTCTTTTTTTTATAAAATTAAAGACTACAAATCAAATGGACAGCTTTCTAAGATTACTCAGCTACCATTTGCTGCAAAAAAAATAACTAAGATGTTTTAAAGTCTGTTAGATTAAGAACCCTCGTGTCAGTCGTCCTTAGGCGTATTTCTACAACATCGCATGAACTTACTGTTATCTCAGCTTACAACATGCTGAGATCTATTTGCTTTCTCTCACTACATTTCTGTAGTCCTTTGAATTTTGTGCAGTTTGTGCTTATACGTAGTGATTTTTTTTTTTTTTTTGTGAACTAGAACAGTAAAAGAAAAAAAAATACTGAAACGGAAACATATTCGTGTTTTGATAGGACGCTGAAGGCAAGGCTTGTAGTTCCTTTGTTAACATAATTTCTTTTCTTTTTTTACTTTTTGCAGGCGCTTTCTTACAGCACGCAGACAGATGCTGACGAAGACAAAAACATCCCCACGTTTTGCGCAGTGTTTCCAACGCTACAGCGCCGCTTTAGACGAGCATTACATGTTTTGAGTGTTGTGCCCCTAAGTCGAGAGAAACGGGCCATTTTGGATATCCCTCGCATTCATTAGACGACGCATTGCGCCATAACACTTCGTCCCTCATTTCCTATCTTACGATGCTTTGCCGATGACCGCCTTCACCGTTCGTCGTGCTGCCCAGCTAAGTACGCAAGTTGCTCTGCAATCGTGACGACCCACCGGGCCGTCGCTTCGAACAAAGCTCCTTACTTCCAGCCGTTGCACGAAGAGATGTGGCCATATGTTCAACGATCCGTGACAAGCCTTGTTCCAAGGACAGGTGCGTCCTGCTAGCGATTCGGCAAGCCCGGCACAATTTCGCTTTGCCGGCCTCTTGCAGCGGCGAAAGAGTGAGGCCGGTCGCCCTGCTATCGGGCACCTTACGGGGCCTCAAAACCGGTTCCAGCCAGCGCGATCTCTCATAAGTGAATTTCGGTACGTGTTGCGATCGGTTGCAGCCCCGAATTTTGGAACTCCCAGGGTCAGGACCAGTCGCTGAGAGCCGCTGCTAGTCCGAGGAACGATGTTTTCAAGACAAGCCGGTGTTTACTGTCGGTTATCGAGGCGTACGCGCCTCCCCCGCTCGGAAGTCGCGAGCGGCGGCCCCTTTACAAGGAAAGCCTCGCTGCACGTGACGCAACCGTGTACGTCTCTCGCCGGCAGCTGGTCTCTCCCTCTCTCTCCGCGCGTCGCTGCCGCTGCCAGAGAAGGTCGCCGGCACAAGTGTTCACGTGCTCGCGGCGTGATCTCAACGGCAGCGTGCACGTTCCCCCGCTTTTTATCACCCGGCGAGGTGCCCTCTCGCCGCAAAAGGAAAAACAGCCTCCGCATGGGAACACACGCGTCTCGCGCTTCGAGCAACAACCTAAGAGCCGACACCGAGCTGGACGCGCTGCAGCACCAACCATGGCACCCCCGATGCCCAAAAACGATGCCGACTTGAACGACGCGCAGTCTTCGGACCGCCCAAGGATCGTGCTACCCTGGAGCCTCCGGCAGCGCTGCTTGGACGAGGTCAGTCGCAACGTGTGGCGTTGGAGCAAGAGTCTGGACGAGGGGTCCGAGTGCTCCGGCGGAACGCCGTCCACACCGCTCGAGGACAACCCGTTCGTGGACTACCCCGTGCACGTGAGACAAGACCTGCTTGAGTCTATCTTGGACGACGAAGGACGCAGCCCCGCTGTCCGACGTGTAGCCGAGCTCCTGCTTGTTTCAGGTCTCGAGTCTTTCGACCTCAGCTGCCTGGATGACTTCAGCACGGTAGACCTGCAGTTCATTCTGCAGCTACTCGAAGAGCACGGTTCGTCTCTCCGGGAACTGACCATATCTGGACTCTGGATGTTTTCCTCGGAGAGCGAAGACATTGTACGAAGACTCCTGAGTGCAGCTTCCAACCTCCGAGTGCTCCGGATTCAAGACATCTACCGTGACAACTTCGAAGTACTTGTGAGATCGTGCCCACTCCTGCAGCGGTTAGAGGTAATGCACCACTCTATCAACGCTGACGACATCGATTCTGTGACGCGCATCGTGCAACTCGAGAACTTGCCAGTCCAACAAAGCCTTATGCAAGTAAGCCTACCGGCATCAGTGGATGGTGAAGGAATCATCAGTTTAATCGAAACCTTTCCGAACCTTCAGATAGTCCGGTGTGTGTACCTGGAGTCGGTGCTTGATAGCCTCGATTCGCGGACCGGCAGTGGTCAGAGGGAGTGGTGGGAGAACCGGCTGTCGCGTATCCATGCTCTGCAAAGTGGTCATCCCATGGGCTGGGGTAGTGTGGAGCGACTAGTTGCTTGGTTCCCACAGCTCGAGGAAGTCGTGTTGCACGTTCAGGACGGCATGAACATTCGAGAGCTATCCAAACTGAAAAGACTGCGTTCGTTGGAGCTTCGGAACAGCCCAACGATTCCTTCGTCGTATACAGATGACGTGCTTCCCCTGCTCGCTCTTTGTGGCCGTCGCCTTCTTCGCCTAGGACTCGAGCATTTCGACGTGATTGATTTGGGACGAACGAACGCCATGTGTCCCGATCTCGAAGCACTTTCTCTTCGCTGGTTCATCTTGCTCGGATGTTCACTCCCGGTCACTCATTCAAGGACAGTTGCAGTGAAACCTTTCCAGAATCTGAGGGAACTGACATTGAGACCTCGCGTTGGTAGATTAGTGCATAGGGATGCATGTGAACTTTTATTATCACACTGCCAGAACATCAGGCACATCGAGCTTTTCTGTGGCGGAGGCCTCAACGATTCCTTAGCGTTGCTGCTGTGCAAGAGAAATGGCTTTCCGAAACTGAGGAGCTTACGGTTGAGGCATGGCCACGCACTCAGTGCCGACGGCTTACAGAGTTTCCTGTCAAAAGCTTCCAACCTGAAATTCTGGAACGCTGGGAAGTTTACTCGTAGGTCTTCTTTGGGTGACGACGATGAAGATGAAGCTGCAAACGTCCATGATGAAGATCACTGACTCGAATCATACTGTGATACACAGTCGTTCTGACCTTACTACCACACTCGGATGTGATGGTGGCGAGAACCGGTGACTGGATCTAACTCCTTTTCAATGCAAATTCCCACAATTTGTCTCAGTCTTGTGCACTCGGTGCTGTAATGAAGTGAAGTTCGGTTTGTGATTTATAAGTGCTGATTGTTTTTGAGCGTGTTTATATGTGTTGTTTTGTATAGGAAGATGTCCCTGCCGTTTGTAAAAAAAGAAACGAGGAGCTTTCAGTGCCTTTTGACTGGATAACGTGCGGTTGAAAAAATGTCCAGTTATATTTCATGCCACGTTGTATGCAAATTCGGTTGACTTCAGGTATGCGTATATAAATATAGCGTTAAATTTAGTATAACACGCTTTTGTGCGTTTCGTGGTGTTCATGAGGCTCCCATTTAAAAAAAAAATCTAGAAGCTGGACCCAGATCTTGTTTCATCCTGATGCCCAATTGAAAGAGCACAAAGGATATGCAATTGGATATTGCGTTCTGGTGAAAATGTATGGTCCTATAAATTATCTCCTTCCGTAAGGTCACAAACCCTAGTTCTTGGTAAGGCCTGGGCGATGCACAACCTACAATTTCTACATGTCATTCCTGACAGGGTACAAACAGTATTCTATGTTGATATTTTGTTTTCTATCTGCGATGCATTTCGCGGTTGTTTTCGTACCAGGACAAAGTCTTCATTGTAAATAAAGAACTCTGAATGTTTATAAAAACAGTTTTCAATATGTCTTTTCAAAACCAGCTCTGCTTGCAATTGGAGTGGGGTTGCCTAACACATTTCAAGCGTAAAAAGCAGAGATCTCTATCTTTACAATTAGAAAAGGTTCATAATAATAGAAAAATACAAAAAGTAAGAATTTCCTGACGCGATAAAAGTATTGCAGGCTCTACAGGTTCAGCTATTAGTTCTTGCACGAAGAAATAAAAACGCTGCATTCCCGTTTAAGACGGCCTGGATGATCGGTTGTTCTAATCTACTTGTACATGTTATAGTTTCTAGGAACAACAACTTAGCGACTACACTTGTAACCTCGGACCCGTCTTTATTAAGTTCTCTCACAGGCACAGCTTTGCCGGACTTCGTTTGCTTCACGACGTCGTTTTACAAGTTACCGAATCTCTGTGTAATATTTTCTTTGTGTTTGATGGCCCCTTTGTCTCTCGAGATATGCGGAGGGCAACGGTTTGTCACAAGCGGACCGGAGGTTCTTATCTGGAGTCGAACACAGATGTGTAGCAGGACGTCACGTCGTCACATCTATCGCCAGTGGTCTCCAATATGATGGGACGTGTAACATAGAGGGAGCGCGGCAGCATCTCTTATCGTGGCAATCGCTAACTGCGAAGCCAGAGTATGGCCTTGACTCCAGGGTGTTTTTCGTGTAAGTGAAGCGTCACATCCCTTTCCTCCCTCTCTCTCGCCCATTATTCCTAGCAAACACATCCTCCTCCCCCTCCCCCCCCCCCCCCCCCCCCTCTTCCCGTTTCCCTTGCTCAAAGAGCTCCTCAACTTACATTTTACGCGGTTTCGAGGAGAGGAAGCGTGAGCTTATGGGCTGCCCCGTGCCAAGTTTTTGTTTCAGCTGTCATTTCAGTCCCGAAGGCTTTCGAAATGCACGAACAAGGGCTGCCGAATCCTTCAAGCATGAAACGTTTGCGCCACGGCTCCTTTGTCAATTGTCAAGTCTCTCGAAGCTTCGTCTGTCACGCATCAGGCACCGAGTTGACTACAGTGGCTTCATAGACACGTTTTTACTGTTACGTCGCCGGTACTATCCTAGACTACAGACTGCTTAAGTTTAACTCAGCAAGCGGTGAAATTTCGGTTCAGTTAGCCTAACAGCACGTTGAAACTAGGCGCTTAAAAACGAAGTCTCGGTTTACTAAAGTTTTTGCTGTTTTCTAAGTTGTGATGCGACTGAATATAAACACATAACATTTATCCTTGTACGGTCATGTGTTTATAACTTGATTTGCATTGTTTATTGGTTTTCATGGGGGAAGCAACAGTATTGTTGTGATTGGTACTAACTTATGCTCGCCACTTTTATGTAGCGTGAGTGAGCTCCTGCTTCCGCCTACACTTAAAAAAAAAAAGATGTCGTCTTACACCCTTTTTGTCCCATATAATGCAGCCCAAAACTTCAGTTCGACGTAGAGCGCACTATAGTAGAACAGAAGGTCCCAAATTTTAGGAGGGGCTTGATAACGGTGCGATATAACTTATTAGTCAGCTGAAGTACTTATCAAACACCATAGAAAGAAAACACTGAGGTTTTGCAATAAAGTCAAGAAAAACCCGATTTTTCTTTTTTGTAGTCAGTAAAACGTACATCAGCTATTTTAATAAGTTATATGGCACCGTTATCAAGCCCCTCGTAAAATTTGGGGCCGTTTGTTTGACTATAGGGCGCTGTACGTCGAATTGAAGTTTTGGAGTGTCTTATATAGGACAAAGGGTGTACGAATATACCCGCTTTTTTTTAAAGAGTAACTATGTATTCCAGTATACCGTACACATTAATCACAGTGGCTGTACGCTAAAGACGGTGGCTCATAGATTCTTTCTTTATGAGGTTTTTAGTGGAACCGCGTGTCATTGAAAACCGCCTGCATCCCTGACTGGGCCGCAAGAAAGTAACAGGATCCAGTGAGTTCATACACCCGATCTTCAAGGGCCACACCGGTCAAGCGATAGCCTCGGCAGTGCTTTATTTCAGAAGACGCTGTTTCGGGCACGTTAAACGAGAGTTGCTCGAAGAGGAAGTGTCATGCATCGATTGATCGGAGACCGGTCCACACATGTCTTCCAGATGCGTGAGCAGCTCGCGCATGCGTAAAACATGCCACCGACATTAGTTCGCATGAGAACCACTTGGCGTGCCTTTATGTGTGAAAAGTATACTGAAAACAGACTGACCATAAATGCTGCGCTTACTGGTTAACCGAGCACAATAAACTGTTCGATAATAAGGAACATCAGGGCACCCGTGGAGAATTCTCGTTTTATTTTCTGGGCCATACGTGCACACAGTTGCCGCGCGTGTGGGTTTTAGGAGAGACGCTGTGTGAGTGAGGTTTTTGCAATTTTTTCTTCTCGCGTTTTGGAAGCCCCTTTTCCTCTCCGGGACCTTTTCCTCCCTGGGAGCTGCACACCGAGTCCTGGCTGATTGGCGCAGCTGTTTCACTTGTCTCCCACTGCGACCAGTGAACGGGGCTAACCTCGTTTGTTTTCGTCCGAGAGGATCCCCAACAGGCCCGCGGAACGGAGCGTGTTAATCGCCGTGTCTATATTAAGTTATCATTAATAATACCAAAAGGAGGCCCAAATTAAATTACGCGAGCCAGAGCTCGCCTGATGTTGAACCCCATCCGCAGCTCTCATCCGCGCACTCCCTTTCCGCCGGGGTGGCCCCGAGTTGGGAAGAAGAGGTGGCTGCAGCTGACGTGTCCTCTAACTCTTTTAGACCACGTGGGTTTCACGGGGCGGGATATACCGAGCGATCGTGGGCTCGAAAAGATATTCGAAGCCTGAAGCCATCGTTCGCGTAGCTTTGGCAAGCCCACTATTCAAATTCGGATCATTTCGTTTCCGCGTCGCACAACCTGGTTTCGAATGAGTTGCGTATTTTTGGCGCATTATAGAGCCATCTCAACATTATGCTTATCAAACTCGTTAAAAAAAAAAAAAAAGTTGAATCGTTTAGACACGCGCTTGCCCAATTTAATACTCCCAAGAAGTACAGTCCAGAAGTTACTCGGTGCGCAAAAACAACGTCTATTCTAAAAAACGAAAAAATAACTATGTTTCCAAATTGAAATATGCTCTACGTATATTCTTAACAACGTTATACCTTTGTGGAAATAAAATGTTTCATATAACAAAGTTTATTCAATAAGGAAAATATATTGGTTAAGAAGTGCAGCAGTAAAATAAGGGGAGGACGACTTTATGGAACAACATTAAAAGAAGAAAAAAAAACATGAGAAGGAACACACTGTAGTTTTACAGTTCCCGTAGAAGATGTATTCTAAATATTACAAAACACAAGAAACAAACGATTTGAAAAGTGTGAATTCCAAACCAGCTCACGCCGTAATATTTAGAGCCTATCCAAGACAAAACGTAGGTGGTACTAGGAGACCGTTTTCATGTTTTCGCCCGGCTTCTGGAGTATTTTTGCAGCTGGCCTAATTCCACGATTTTTTTTCTCCCCCAGTATCTTCCCGTTTTCGTGCAATCCTGGATTCTCATCGAGTCATCCATGTTGACGTCGATGACGCACGACTTCCCCTCTTCTCCACATAGAAGATATCTAACGTTACGAGCGCTTTTGCCTCCTAATAAAAAACCAGGTCGCCCAGATCTAGACCACCGAGGAACAATCGAGCGTTCCGCCCACCACCCGGCAAGTAGCCGGAAACGTTGCTCGACGCGGAAAGACCAGTATACCCTCGGCCGCCTTCGCACGCAGCACCCAAGTGACCCAACAACAGCACCGAGCGGTCGGCCAGGAAACTAGATGCGACACGGCGACGACGCTCGCCCGATCCACTCAACTCAGGAACCGGACGACATCGTCGTAAACATCCGCCTAACAAGCGGTTGTCTTCGCTTCCTGCTATGCCGTTGTGATTCGCCTACTACACCCCCGACGCCTGCCCCGCTAGCGTCAACATTTCAAACACCGTTGCCTATACACGTTCATGCGGGGCGGAAGCGAACGATGCCACGTAGTAGTTTATTGATCCTGTTCCCCCCTAACGAGATCTTAGTTACTGCGAAGGCAGTCATAGCAACAGCAGCAGCAACAGGTCTAATGGACAAGAGGGAAACGGTCTTGGAGGAAGGCAGCGCCTGCTGATCGGACTGGAGCGCTTCCTCGCTGCGAGCGGCGTAAGCATCACGAGAACGAGGTTAATGGTTGGCCGGGACTGCATCGCCAGTCCGCGCATCCCTCGGCCGGCCGCGGATGTGGCCGAGGTCAGCGTCACGTACCCAGACGCTCTCTGCCATTGCGGCGAATGAGAGCTGGCTGGGAATTCTGGCATTCACGATCGCGTCGTGTTCGACGGCGCGGTTGCTTTTTATTTGGTGGGTCTCCGTTTCTTTTGTTATCGTGGTTGGGTTTGTTATTCCATGCAGCGGCTGAGAAGGATGTTCGCGTCGTCTGCGATTGCAGCAGTCATTGGTCTGACGATGGGGATTTATTTGTGGAGGGCTAGCAGCGTGTTTGGGTTTGCTTGATTTGTTTCTTAGCAGGGTCGTTGAGCTTGGGGAGGTTTTACCTGTGGTTAATCTTTACGCGGCATCGGCATCTTTTTATGGTATTGCTTTTTGGTCCGGGTGCGGCAGTTAACCGAAATTCACGATCTGACCGTACGCAGGGGATGGTCTATAAGTTTACCTCTTCCTACTTTAGGCATGATTTATGCGCTTCCAAAGATCCTGGCCCGTGTATTTTTTTATATTTGGGATTGAGGTCATTAACCTAAGGCAGGTTGTATTTAAAAAAAAAACTCTAATACGCCATAAAAGCCATCCTATGGTTAAAAGGCTTTTTTACAGGCCAATGAGACTCATAGGGTACAAGCGACAGGGAAAAGTGTTTTATACTTCATCGCAATTTTTTTTTTTAATTCATATGTGTGTGCAGGGGTGGGTGGGAGCAAGGGCGAAATTATTTTTCGTCACATTTCTGTTTTCCCAGCG